ATTAACTTTTTATTTGATTTAACTTTAGAAGAAAACTTCGTCGACTCCATCATCAAAAAAATTTTTACTTTTTTAACGTGTTTTATTATTTTAATAAACAATTTTACAATTTGCGTGCACAGTTCCTATGTAAATTTTTCCCTCATTCGAGTTATAAATTTTGCCACCAGATGGTGTATGCCCATTTGACGGATCCCAATACTATTAGATACTATTTATCCCATTTTCAATTTTCAATTTGATCTGTACGTTTCCGCGTCCAACTACAAACATTTTTCGGACTTCTAGAAGGTCACCCCCAATCTAACCATCCCTGTCTTCACATATTGTAAACAATTACAGACAAAACTTCTAACCTTTTCGTGTATCCTTTCATTCATGGTCGGTTTCCGTTTTTCGGCAGTCTTAACTTTTAGAACTTTTACTAAAGGTTTTATGGTGATGCCTTGAAAGAACACGGTGAAATAAATAACAGCAATGGTGGTCGTCATAAACATGGGCTGTAGTTTCACCACTTTCGTTTCTACAGTAGATACGAGAGCAAACGCCACTGCTCCCCTCAAACCCCCGTAAGACATCACAAATTTATCCACCTTCTGAAGCTGGTGAACTCTGAAACGATTGGCCAGCGCGGAAAACAAGATCACACCTGGAAATAGAAGACGATCAAAACTCTGTCCCTGAATATATGGGTAGCCCTTTTCTCTTGGATTCTTTTCATTATTTTCTACATTAAGAATAATGAATTCTTTTCAATTTCCAGCTCAAATTATTTCTGTTAATAAAGGTTGGATATACCGGTTGCGAAAGAGTGAACCTTGGCATAAGGAATTTCACAGTATACTATACAGGAATTGCAGCTTCCTACACATGCGTATTTTTACGTGCGTGTCTTTACACAATTCCTATCGCTTAGTCGGTGTGTGCGTGCAGTCTATATTGATTTTGATGAGAGCGGCATATTATTTCTATGCCAAGATCAGCATTTTCGCACACGGTATATGAGAGTTTACAAGAGGGCGACTGTAAATTGAGAACCAACACGTTTAAGGCTATAATTTTTTTGTCGATAGCTTACCTAGTGCTCTATAAAAGGAGCAGAACATGATAGTTAGAACAATGAAGTAAGTGTTCCAATCGTGGTTTTTATTTACAGTAGCAATGCCCAGGAACATGAAAATGATTGTTTCGGAAGAACTGCTCAACATTTTCATGGCGTATTTTATCGTTGTATGAGACTTGTGCGAAATATTAGCCTCAACGTAGTTCTTCATTGTTATCCCACAAAATGTTATACTGAAATAAACAAGCAGAGATTGAAAACTTCGACGAAATCGCTACAGTCGAAAACAAAACTAAAAGCGCAACATTCTCCACTTCTACGTTTATTTAGATTTTTTTATTTAGAATCGTTCGGGATCGTTGGGAGATTTAAACTTCAATAAACAAATAAGAGTTTTTAGTAATTACCAAAACTAGTTAAATTGATATTATAAAAATAAAAAACAATTGTGTGGTTTTATGAAACCACGATGCAAGTGAAACTTTTCGAATTGTAGACATTCAACAGTAAATTTCGATTTAGGGTATTAAAATTAAAATCGCGTTCTTAATCTTCTGTTAATGATTGGTAAATGGGAATGATAATGGGAAATCAATAGTAGACAAGATATCCAACCGTAAATTTTAATTTCAATCTGCGAGAGTACGAAACACATAATAAATACAATCATTCAGATGACAGGCGCATGTTAAAAACTGAGAACAATATTTATTTAAATCATTGAATCATTTTGAACTTCAGTTATTCTATGAATAATTTCGTCTTCGCTTTGAGTTTCACAGTTTACAAATGCAATTGTCATGCACTTGCACGAATGAGTGAGAATATAAATTCTACACGGCCTTGGCTGCTCTGCCGAGCGCTTTACAGTTTTACCCCCACTCTGCGGCCGGCTGTAATGCGACATGCGATAGATGAACGAAAAAATTTGAGGCGATGTAATAAAAGTTTCACATTAAAAACTGAAATTAAGTGTACCATAATTCTATTTGCAATTTTTGTATATTTGTTATACTTACGCTAAAATGCCGGACATGTGAAAAATCTCTGCGGATAGGTACGCCAGGTAGGCCATCACGAATATAAAAATAGGTTCAATAACGCGCACTTGATACGTAAATCGTGTAACAAACCCGGTAGCGAAACCCCATACAATACCGATAAGCGTCCCCCCCACGGCTACTACAATGAAACTAGCGAAACCCGATAAGACATCTTGGTACACGATTTTCTCCGCGCCCATTTCCGTATACGCCTCGAACATGTGGTACAGTACAACGGTCACGGCGTCATTTAGTAACGATTCCCCGAAAACAATAATGTACAATATTTCGTTGACATGAATTTCTTCGAAAACCGCGAGCACAGCCACTGGATCTACTGCTGATATCAGGGCTGCAAACAGAAGGCTATCAAGAATCGGTAATTGTACCGAAAACAGCCCCGTGAGTCCAACAGCCCATAGTGAGACACCTGAAAAATAAATACACGGAAATAAAGTAGCCGAGCCTTCAAAATGTAGTCTTACCTATTGTCAAACAGTTAAAGATGGTTCCTACTACGGCAAACAGTAAAATAGTCCCCAGATGGTCGAAGAAGAGTCTGTTCGGCATGAAGTATCCCGCGTCTAGTATAATAGGCGGCAACATGTAGAAGAAAAACAGATTAGGGGTCAACAGGGCAACAGCACTCTCTGTAGCGTACACTAAGACAACGCCAATTACTACACCAACTACTATCAACAGGCACGATTCTGGGAAAATTGCACTCAGTTTTGGAGTCATATGAAATCCTGGAACAATAGAGAACATGATATCAATAAAACAAACAGTGATTTGAATGATATTTTAAAATCGTTAAAAGAAGGCATATGCAAGGACAGCATGTAAACCTGGAGAAACCAAACATTATTGTGATTACACACACGTGAAACGTATAATTAACAAGTGATCGATGTTGAAAAATAGGCTAGCTTCTGTCAATCAATTTCAAATTCAAAAACTGTCACAATGTTGGAGTATTAATAAAATTTTGTCAAAATTACTTAATTCAGTCATTTTTTGCTCAAAATTTTATCTGTTTGAAGTGTAGCAGCAATGGATAAAGGGTTTCAAACTTATTACCCATATTATCCGCCATGCAACACTACCCAACGTGGTTCTAGGGAATTTTATCCCTTTTGTTCCCGACGAGAAGCGAAAAAGGCCGATTATGTTTTAGAAGAATCAGCGTCAGTTGAACTAAATAGCGTTATCCTTAACGAAACCGTTTACGATGAGGTCCAGCGTGGTGCATTGCTACATCCGATTCGGAAACTCCGTAAACGTTTTTCAATTCCGCCTACCCAATCGCCCATGTATTTGGATGACTTGATGAAAGACTTGTTAAGATTCGAAGGTGTTTGTAAGAAAAAGAAGAAAAAGAAAAAGAAGGTACCAGGGCCAAGCTGTAAATTGTCATACCTAAAAAACATGAAAAAAATGGACAGAGACGTACTGACACGAAAACAGTACATCGATTTTCTGTCCACTCCAAAAAAGTATCCAAAAGAAGATCCGTGTCCAAAACCTCCGGATCCTTGTAAAATATTAAAGACAGAAATGTGCCCCCCGAGAATTCTTCAACTTGCCATTCCAAAAAAACGACTGGTCTATGAAACGTGGAAGAACTACAACTGCGTTCTTCCCATTCATCTTATTGAGAAGCTGCAGGAAATCCTACATTCAGATCGAAATCTTGAAGCTTCGTACGCCAGAAGATACTTTAAACGTCTTGAGAGGCAAAAGAAGAGAAAGAAGATGTTGGAGAAGAAGAGAAGGCTGAGACAGATCGCGAGGAGGAAAGATAAATGGCTGAAAGATATAATAAAGCGTACGGCTAAAGCTATAGTGAAATTTATCAGGGATCGACCCAATTATAGTCTAAACTATAAACAAATCATGTTCAGTGATGCACTTTATAATTTAGCAATTCAAATAATGCCGATTCCTCGCTTAAATCGTAATTGTCCTTGCAACGCTTACCACAGGACCTTGTTAGAAATTCTTGATAAAATTGCTATGTGGGTGGATTTGATATTGAAATATATAGACATCCACTACACTGACTCAGAAGAGGAACTGCTGCTAAGGTTGCCATCAGCTGGAGAACTAGGAGAAGGTAAATATTCATTTATAAGAACTAGGTGTAAAACAAAGATCATTTTTTGGCGAAGGGGAAGAAGAAGGCGAAGGAGAGGGCGAAGAAGAAGAAGAACTTTCGGAATTGTCGGAATTATCTTATGGAGAAGGTGAAGGAGATATATCTATCCTAGAATTGCAAACCGAACTGACAATAACCGAAAGCGACAAGGGGGACGACTTACTCGACGAAGGAGAAGGAGAAGAAGGATTTGCTGGATTTTGCGCCGATACCGAGGACGTAATGGGAATGGTAATGAGCCGTTATTATTTAAATATATACAGGGTGCTTCAAAAAAATGTATACACACTTTGAACTTCCATAGAAAATTTATTTACCGTTCTACAAAGTTAAATTTCAGGAAAATAGAAAGCTGAAAGTCCAATGTAAATGAAACATAAATAACAAATGTTAATACTGTTCAAATTGGTGACCTACAGCATCAATACAATTCTGAGTACGAGTCACCACAGATTCTGTACATCGTATCAAAACGTGATACGTGAACCGGGATTTATGGGTAGCATCATTTGGTCGGATGAAGCCCAATTCAAACTTAATGGAACTGTCAATAGGCACAATTGTGTTTACTGGGGTGAAGAAAATCCTCACATTACAATTGAAAAAGCTGTAAATTTGCCTGGTGTAAATGTGTGGTGCGGTTTGTCTTCAAGGGGACTCATTGGACCTTTTCGATTTGAAGGCACTGTAACTGGTATTAATTACCTAACAATGCTTGCTGATTCCATATTTCCTGCCATTCGTGCATTATACGGTAATGATGATTTTTATTTTCAACAAGATGGTGCTCCGCCGCACTATCACAGGGACGTACGAGCTTACCTGGATCAAAATTTGTCGGGCCAGTGGATAGGACGCAGGGGGCCAATCGAGTTTCACCTTACACCACTGGATTTCTTCTTGTGGGGCACAGTAAAAGATGAGGTGTACAAACGTAAACCACGTAACCTAGACATTCTTTGGAATGAGATTCAAGCAGTGTGTAGAGAAATCTCATTGGACGTTTTGATACGATGTATAGAATCTGTGGTGACTCGTACTCAGAATTGTATTGATGCTGTAGGTCACCAATTTGAACAGTATTAACATTTGTTATTTATGTTTCATTTACATTGGACTTTCAGCTTTCTATTTTCCTGAAATTTAACTTTGTAGAACGGTAAAAAAAATTTCTATGGAAGTTCAAAGTGTGTATACATTTTTTTGAAGCACCCTGTATATATTTCTACCAATCGGAATCATACCAATGTTTTATATTCACAAGTTTGGCTAATTACGGGTGTTAAATAGTTAATTCGTCGTATTTTTTAAAGCTGAAAGATAGCATGCTGGGCCTCCTCATCTCGATATACGAAAGAGGACCAACATTGCTTGAAGAGCAATTGGATCCCAAGATCTTTGGCAAAGTTACAAGACGCTATCTTTTGGACAAAATTAAGTCGTTGGCTGATAAAGATTTAGCTGACCTAATTCGCGAGCGACAGGTACAGCTTGAGCAGAGAATGATGGAATGGGTACATAAAAATGCTCCTGAAGAGCTTAATGACGATATGTGCAAGACGATTAAAATAGTCGCTGCCCTTTTGGCGAGATGTTTCGGCAAAGAGTTTTTGGCAGGACTCTTGGAAGAAGAATTGTTGTTTGGAACTGGCGAAGATGATGACGGAGCTGGTCGCGGACGAGCTCGACTAGCTGGCGATGAAGGGCGCGGAGGAGGTGTACAGGGTAAAAATGTTGCAGTTTGTAATCCTGCCGTTGTTAAATTAATGTTTCTTTAGAATACGGCGAAGAGGGTCTTGCCGGTGACGACCTATTCGGAGATGATCGTTCAAAAGGATACGACGATGGCAAAGGCGAAGGAGAGGAAGAGGAATGTGAATTACCGGATATGGATGAGGGAGAGGGACCTTGTGGCGAAGGAGAATTTGGATTCAGAGGCGTATGCGAAGAAGGGGAAGACGAAGAAGGGGGAAGACGACGAAGAGGCAAAAGGCCATGTGGCGAAGAAGGGGAAGAATCTGAAGAAAGTGAAGAAGGGGTATGCGAAGGTGAAGGAGGAAAGAAAAAGAAGAAACCATGCGAATTGGAGATTGAGAGAAGAAGAAGAGAACATCCACTTCCTACTACTATTTGCGCACACAAACCTTCTAAAACATTCGAGCATTCTCCAGATATGATGTGCTGTCTGCATCTGAAACTTTGGGCTACATGGCTGTATGAAGTTGCAAATAATGCCCACACATGGACGAAATGGATAATTCAAGTATCACAAGAGGTCCGCCACTATGCAGCAATCGTTAGAGGCGACGTCCTTGATGACAATGGCAAACCGAAAGTCCTGTACAAGCAAGAATGGAGAGATTTCGTGGCCAAAATCGACAAGATGATCGTATCGTGGCGACAGTACAGTCTGGACGTCAAGAAAGTAACGGAAAGTGTTATCAAGAATTTCAAAGGGAAGAAAGTCCAATGTTGTCCGAAATGTTTGGAAGATAGTAACATAGTCGACGTCAGCATGGTGCATGGTATCACGCAGCAGTTGGCTGATGCAATGATGACTGCTCAGTACTGGAGGAATTGGCTAGATGATATCATGATGCAGACTTGCAAATTGCTCACTGTTGATGTGCCTGATGTTTGCGACACTGACTCTGTCTACACCGGAATGATGAGCACCATTACAGAAATTGGATCGTACATCAGCGACGGTTCTGACAGCGTGTGGGAAATAGAAGAAATGGAGAAAGGAAAATGCGTATGCTTCAAAGATCAGAAGAAATAACGTTGGTAGATCTTTTCACAATGTACTTCATATATATAACGAGTTTAAAATAATACAATGTCTAAAAAATCCTAAGGAATTTTTAATGAGAAGTTTCTAGCCTTGCTTTTTAGTGTATTCTATTCTAAAAACCTACTACGATGTGAAGAGGCACGTTTATATGTACTTGCCTATCATGTCAACAGCAACAAATTTTTTGCTTCTGTCGTCTCATGTCAACATTACGAAAATGTCATAATTGAAGTCAATTTTTAGTGAGTACTACAATCCATTTTGTAAATTTCATTGTGAACGAAGAAGTAAGAGTTTTTTAAAAGTTATCTTCCCGGCAGCACTATGTTTTCGAACCTCACAAGTATTTTAAAAACTTGGGAAATTAGTTTATATTAAATTTTAGAAAATCTTTATCATATAATGGATCATTCTTCAAATCAGTGGTCATACTTCAACAGATTGCATCCTAAGTTTCACGACAAAACCCACGAAAAGGCTTTTCAGAAGAAAATTTCGTTATTGCCGTCCACTTCGGGCCCTTGTTCATGCCCAAATTACAGACCACTTGACAGTAAGCAAAGAAGAAATTACCATTCATATTTTAATGAAGTGTACGAATGTAAAGCGGGTTCAAAAAGAACAGCTCCTCAAGTAAGAACGGATAGTGCAACTTGTGCAAATGTGTCGTCAAGAAAACGAAAATCTTATCACGATAAACGATTTCATAACGAGCGTGATGCTAGGTTTATTAAAGCCACAGCTGCACGTTTAATTAAACGTTTAAATGATCCTCAACTAATTACAGTACCAGAAAATGAGCTGCTCATGAAGAAACGCATCCTAGAGAAAACAAAAGAACTACTTCAGCTAATAGAATTCAGACAGAGTTATCATAAGCACCTGATAGAGTTCAAACGTCTTGTAAGAAAATTAACCAAATGGATCACATTGATTATGGAATGTACAGAGCATAATTATTCAGAATTATCGAAACGTGACAGCGATATAGCAAAGCGGAGAAACATGCCACTAAACATATTCGAAAGCTACGAAGATGAAAGCGATAGCGATAACAGTGAGAGTACAACGAGAATACAAAGCTTCAAATATTGGTTCGAAAAAACATGCCGATCAAAGAAGCGCATTAAAACCAAAAGAAATGCTTTACCAAAAGGATTAGAAGTCAAATGTACTTCAGTGTTCAGTATGATGGAGAAATGGCCGCTGGAGAAGAAACATTCGATACAAAAAGAAACCAAAAGCATTCAGTGGTTGGGAATGTCTGACAAATGTACGCAACTCTACTGTAAAAGAAAATCATCCAAGAAAAGATGCCATCAGAAGACGAACGTTCAATTACAAACCGCTAAAAGAAATTTAGTAGATAACGAACGGCATTTTGATTCACTAAATCAGACCACTAGTACTGTTATGAGATCAGAATGCGATCTGCCAACAGTTTCGGTAGCAAACTGCATTCCATTACTTTGTAAAACACCCAAAGACCCTTTTGCTTTTTATTTACCTCTAAAGAATACTCCGAAAGTTCTAAATACCCAACTGTACCTTTCAGAGTCAGGTAACCAATGCCGACTGATTGTTATTTTTAATACTGTTATCGTGAGTTTTCTTCTAGCGCGTGATTTGACATCTCAAGAAGATGAGACCTTCAATGAACCCAAGGTAACCATCAATTTAAGACAAAGATCACCAACTGAAACGTACTCAGATGATGAATTTTGTAATGATAACAAGAAAGACAGTAAAGGTAACTTGTTCTTAATATTTTTTGAAAACTTATAAAAATATATCGAGCAGAAATTGAATATTGTTCCAGAAACGCTGTCCATTGAAAGTAAAGGTGTAGAAACGGCATTCCCAAATATTTTGAGCTCTTCTACAAGCTACCAGTCCATTGCCAACCGAGAAAGAAGGAAACAAAACCGGAAATCATTAGCAATTAAAAATATCTTCAGCACTGACTTTTTTGATGGGAATTCGACAGATAATGAAACAGTTTATTGTGGATTTGAAATAAATGAGCTATGCAATAAGAGGAGTTCCTGTTTGACAAATACCACCTCCGAAAACGATAGCGTGATTAATTCTAAAAAGGTCAGAAAATTCAGCAGACTGCCCAAACCTCGAACGAGTACCGAACCATGTGAAGTAAAATTCAAATTTAATAGAAACGTTTGTACGTTTAGTGTGAATTATAATCCATCAAAAGTGTTAAGTAATTTAGAAAGCGCGAGTGATCAAAGTCAGTTAAACAATGGAGGATTGCAGACCACTGAAACTGAAAAAAACCAGCTAAACAATGAAGGAGAGAACATCAATGAAATTGGAAACATTGTTACTACAAAGCAAAGTCAGTTAAACAATGAAACAGCGAAGATCGGTGAAACTGAAGAAAATTTGGCTGCAAAGCAAAATCAGTTAAACAATGAAGAAGAGAAGATCAATGAAATTGGAAACATTGTTACTACAAGGCAATGTCAGTTAAGCAGTCAAAGAGTAGAGATCAGTAAAATTGAAAAAAAATTAACTACAAGGCAAAGTCAGTTAAACAATGAAAGAGTGGAGATCAGTGAAATTAGAAAAATTGGTTCTACAAGGCAAAATCAGTTAAACAATGAAACAACGAAGATCGGTGAATCTGAAAAAAATTTGGCTACAAGGCAAAATCAGTTAAACAATGAAGGAGAGAAGATCAATGAAATTGGAAACATTGCTACTACAAGGCAAAGTCAGTTAAGCAATGATGTAGTGGAGATCAGTGACTTTGAAAAAATTTTAACTGCAAGGCAAAGTCAGTTAAACAATGAAGGAGTGGAGATCGGTGAAATTGAAAAATATTCAGCTACAAGGCAAAATCAATTAAACAATGAAAGAATAGAAGTCAGTGAAATTAAAAAAATTGCTACTACAAGGCAAAATCAGTTAAACAATGAAGAAGAGAAGATCAGTGAAATTGGAAACATTGTTACTACAAGGCAAAGTCAGTTAAGCAGTGAAAGAGTGGAGATCAGTAAAATTGAAAAAAAATTAACTACAAGGCAAAGTCAGTTAAACAATGAGAGAGTGGAGATCAGTGAAATTAGAAAAATTGGTACTACAAGGCAAAATCAATTAAACAATGAAGGAATGAATATCAGTGAAATTGAAAAAAAATTAACTACAGACCAAAGTGAGTTAAAAAATGAAAGAGTGGGGATCAACGAAATTAGAAAAAATAGTACTACAAGGCAAAATCAGTTAAACAATGAAGGAGCGCAGATCGCTAAAATTGAAGAAATTTGTACTACAGGGCAATGTGAGTTAAACAATGAAGGAGCGGAGATCACTGAAATTAGAAAAATTAGTACTACAAGGCAAAATCAGTTAAACAATAAAGAAACGGAGATCGCCGAAATTGAAGATACTTTAACTACAAGGCAAAATCAGTTAAACAATGAAGGAGCGGAGGTCAGTAAAATTGAAGAAATTTTAACTACAGAGCAAAGTGAGTTAAAAAATGAAGGAGTGGAGATCACTGAAATTAGAGAAATTACTACTACAAGGCAAAATCGGTTAAACAATGAAGAAGCGGAGATCGCTGAAATTGAAGAAACTTTAACTACAAATCAAAGACAGTTAAACAATGAAGGAAAGGAAGTCAGTGAAATTAAAGAAATTTTAAATACAAATCAAAGTCAGTTAAACAATGAGGGAGTGGAAACAAGTGAAATTAGAAAAATTTGTACTACAAGGCAAGATCAGTTAGACAATGAAGTCAGCAATGAAGCAGAGGTCAGTAAAATTGAAGAAACTTTAACTGCAGATCAAATTGAGTTAAACAATGAAGGAGTGGATATCAGTAAAATTGAATTAATAACTACAAACCAAAGTCAGTTAAACAATGAAGGAAAGCAGATCAGTGAAACTACAGGGCAAAATCCACCATTAAAAAACATTGGTGAGGTATCTAATAAACCAATGTTACAGTCAGATTCCTTAACCAATACGAATTTGTTGAATACAACTCTTCAGAAATGCGATGACACCAATAATTTGTCGAAAATACAATCCGGTTCATTATCTGAAAATAATATGGTAAATACTTGTACAAATAATGAGGAAGCAGCAAACAAGAACGACTTATTATCAAAGAGCGAACCCACGAACAGAATAAGATCAAAAAAGAAGTGGAAAAATACCCTTATACCAGACGCCATGAAACGCAAAAGCAAATATATTAACAAAATTAATAGAGCAGCTTCTTTTTCAAAGCATAAGAAATCGCAATTGGAAAACAAAACTCATAAAATTAATGAAAACACGGTTTCAGATTTACCAAAAATTGAGAACTGTAATAATATGCATCAAAAAGTTGTTGATACTCAGCCAGAAAAAGGTGATACACTGAAAAAACTAGACGACAGTGTCAGTGATCCTGAAACAAAAATTAACCAATCAACAATTCAACGAGATATTATTGAATCATCGGAGACAATTGAAGAGATATTAAATGTTATACCTACAAATATTGTTTGCCTAAGTCCTAATAGTAGCGATGCTCAGAATAACAAGAATTTTGATAGTATTAATTCTTCTAATAACACTGCGGTAGCTATTGATGTGGCAAATTCAAAGAACTTATCTTGTAATGATATTAAGGAATCAGAAATGACTGAAAATAATAATATGAACTGCAGAGAGCTCAAGTCTCTCAATAAAGATGCGTCAATAAGCAATGTTACAACAAATAACACCAGTTCCCTGAAGAATAAACAGATAATTGAAAGTAAAACAATATTGTCAAAACTTACAAAGAATCGTGACAACAAGACTAACCAAAAACCTTCAGAAAATTCTAAAAGTGTAAAGAAAATATGCGAACCGAATTTAAAAGGTATTTACATTACCAAAAAGTTACCAGAAAAAGAAACATGTCCCAGTTCAGAAAAAAGCAAAACAGGCATAAGCAGAATACCAAAATGGCGATCTATGACGTTACCGCCAGTTTCTAAAAGAAACAATGCAACTATAAATAAAAATAAACTCGAAAACACTAGACCCAAAACAGAACCAAACCCTAGGACTTCAAAAATCGTTGATCAGGCAGCTCAAACAATTGCTACAGAAATAGTAAAAACAATAGAAATCAAAGACGCTGCTGAAAATACAGATATTATAAATAATCAGATCAAAAGACGAAACGTTAATAATAATAAAGTTATTAAGGTGAGTAAAATTAATGCAAAAAAGCGACCTACTGTGTGCGAAGAAGACACTACAGCAAAACGTCCGAGAACCGATAGCGATGAACGTAGATTTCCTTCAACTGCTTTGACTAAGCCAACTATTAGTAGTATGAATAAACAAACCAGTAGATATGGAACAACCATTGACAATAAATTCCACATAAATTCACAGAAAAGAAAGGGAAAGGGTCCAGTGAAAATATTGGCATTTTCGCGCAAATCATTTGCTTCAAAGAAAAATTCGATCAACAGAGAAAGGCCGATTGACATCGTATCTCCTAAACAAAGGCGGGGTAAATTTGAGGCAGAGCCTTATAAGGGTTTGGGCAATGAAGAGAAAAAGACAACATTCCAGTCTGAAAACATTTTTCAACAATTTAGAAATGTTTTGTGTGCAAGGCGCTCTCGTAAGCAAGGCCTCCTGCGAATGCCGGTCGTTGAAAGGAAAACAAACGTTCCTCGCGAAACAGCAGCAACTGACGAAAACAAAAAAACAACTCACGATTTAACAGCAGAAAAACCCGATTCAAAAATAAATGAGACAAATGTGTTAAACAATTTTCAAAATAAGTCTTCAAAAATAAATTTGATTAATCCGAAAGGCTATTGTGATTCAGCAACACAATCAATTTGTCCAATCAATAGACACGTAAAACGTATAAGACAACCGTTTTCTAAGTTCTATTATCCATTGTGGTACACAATTAAGAGACGCAAGTTCAAAGGAAAAGAACGAAAACGGGATAGCAAAATACGTTCGCTTACAACCATCAGCTCAAAAGATTTACCTTCCGTTGGCCAAGCAAATTCGTCACATTCTACTATTTATCAGAAAACACATTCTTCAAAAGAAAATTTGGCCCTTCCAAATAATAAACTTGGTGACAAGTTCAGTTGCGATTGTATCAAAATCGATAAATCAGAGAAAGAAATTAATAAAATCAAGGATATTAAATTATCGGATAATAGTGAATCCGAATATGTAGATGAAGCTTTAGAAAGCGATGATAAAGAAACATCTGATGTAACACAAGGCGCTAAGAATCGACATAAATTAAAACAACACGAAATTAGTACTGATAATGGGCTATTAACAAAAGCGCTTGAAGAATTGAAGCGCTACATTGAATCAATGGTAACTAAAGGATTAGATGAAAGGCAAAGAAAAACGAATGAACCTAAACATACAAACGAAGAACAACTTCTAGAAATTAACTCAGATGAAATGTTCAAAAAAGCATTAAACACCCTACATAATTCGGAAAGGAAATACATTAAGGTTAACATCGAAGATCAAAGTTCAATTACTGATGGTTACACCACTTCATTGAGCAGTTTCAGTAAAAGTCAGTCTCAAACGACATTATCGATAACAGGGTCTTATAAAAGCTTAAATAACACGGAAAGAGATAACGAATTCAAATTATCATTTTCTTCGGAAAAAGTACGTGAACTCATTAAAAAATCCTGCAGGACCGTGAGTCGTATCCCTGTGCCACTCAACACCCGAAGATCGAACAGCGAACAAAACCTTCGCGTCATTTGTCCAAATAGATTTTCGAAAGTTTCAAGTTCGAGCACCCACTCGATTAGTAGTGCATGTGCCAAACACAATCCCAGCATGATGTGTTGCAATCAGCTCGATACATGCTCGGTTTTCCTTTTTGAAGTGGCCCGACATTCTAGAGAGTGGAGTAAATGGGTCAGGCAGATTTTCAGCGGCATCAATAAGTTCACTTCTTTCGTTAAAGAAATGAAAGATGATGACGCAAAACTGGATGAGTTTTATCTCAATGAATGGCGCGATTTTACAGCAATGGTAGACAAAATGCTAGCATCGTGGCGACAATACAGCAGAGAAGTAAAAAAGGTAACCGAACACGCCATTAGGAAATTCAAGAGGATTGATGACCGATGTTGTCCTAAATGTTTAGAGGATGGAATCATAAGTGATAGAACGATGATGCGTGAAGTGGCTAAAAAATTAATAGATGCCATCACAACTGCCGAACTTTGGAGGACATGGCTGGACGATATCATGAAGCAAGCGTCCCTCTTGGTTGATATACAACCGAGTCATAAGCATCAACTAAATGTCGTCGATTATTCTAAGCACACGTACGACGATATGGTCCAGACTTTTTCGCAAATTGCCTTCTGTATTGGAGAAGCATCCAGGGTTATTCAGAAAATCGACATTTCCGAGTTAAATAAATAACATGTAGCAGTTCGACACAATAAATTGACTTGAACATTATTAGAATAGTCTACTAATAACGTAGCTTCACTTAGCCCTCCAAAAATCTCTTCAAAATTTTGATATCATTTGTTCAAGACAGCTTATCTTTACCTTATTTCTAAATGATTATATTAGTGTTGAATTTACCCTCAATTGAAATTTTAGGTCTTTTGGATAATAATTAACCAGATGTTGAGTTTTTAAAGCCTTTGCTAAGTAATGTTAATTACCCATAACTGTCTCTTTCATAAATGACGTAAAATAAGTATTAGATATAAATTAATCAATGACGTTTATTCAAATATTTCACAGAGTTTATTTTAAAAGCTAACTAGTCATTCACTGAAAAGATTGCAATTATTTAAGTATTGATTTATTTAAAGTCAAAAAGGAGCAAAACATGGAAATTTTTAAAACATTAGTTTGTACGCTATAAATAAACAAAACAATGGACAGATGGTAATCTCGGTAAATATCAAGCAACTTGTGGTAAATGCTTATTAAATATTTTATTTTATACAGCAAGAAATATGGTTAATAAGGATATAATAGGATATGATGTTTGTTTAAAAACTATATAAATATTTAAAATAGGGAGTTACAATGTAATCTTAACCAACAGTATTAAGGTAATATTTTTCCAAATATTTCGTATCTATAGTTATATAAATCATAATAAATTTTAAAAGAATTAGCTGGTTTAAAACTAAAAACCAAACACGTTTATTTCATGAAGTCGAAGGCAACAAACTTACATTTGTAGAGGATGGTATATAAATGATCCTATTTAGCGAAAAAACTAATAAAATTGATTGTATCTAATTGAATATTTGAAATGAACAATAATTTCCTTTTAAAAAACAGTTAAATGTTAGTCTTATTTTTAGGGACACTTTTTGGATTCTCTACGATTTGCTGCACCGTTATTGTATAAAACATTATTATTGAGGAATCCTGATGAAATATAGTCTTTTTGGTATTTACAGGGAGTTTAAGAATCTTACTTAAATTTGCTCCTCCTTTGGAGATAAATACACAGACAGACACATATACAAAAATCTCCAAAACTGGTTATTTAAGGTTCTTAAGAAACCCAGGATATTTGCGATTCATTAGAGAATATAGATGATATAGTTTAGTTTTATTGATGCCATTACAAAGTTCTCTCTTTTACTGAATTCATTTCCTACTGTTTATGTTTCATTATTTATTAAGTTAGTAACTAGTAAGCGTTTTTACAGTCATTCAGTCTTGAATAGGTAGTAAATTATCTGAATATACTTATGTTAAAACTGGTTAATTCTGGATACTGGATTTAATTGTATTATTTTGAAGGAAAGCGCTGGAAAGCAGTCAGTAACGAACAAAGTTTTACACATTCATCGCGTTTCCTTTTCTTGTTTTACCCAAATACAAAAAAGAATTTATTAGTTACATACATATGTGTATCTAAGTATCGATTTAATAATTAGTTAAGTGTATAATTGTGTTAGTTTCAAAAGGAATAAATAACTTCAAAAGTTTTAAATGGCCCATAAATTCATTGTGAAGCATTGTAATTATAATAAAACTTAGTGGTAAAAGTTAGTGTATTTTCTTAAAGGAACAAATGAGGTAAGAAAAAGGTAATATATATATTGTTTTAAAGGATAGTTTATATAATATTTATGATTCTGTACAGAAACTATTCGTTTTATAATTTGTTGAAGAGAAAAAAGAAACTCTGCAAGTGCATTCTCATATTGTAATCCTTACTAACAGGATAATTTCAGAACTACTCTTACAACTTTGTATAAATAGATATAAGGTGGATACTAAATTAATTTGAATTCAAAAACAATATCTTAACTGGTTTTTGTTCCAAAAAGAAAAAATTCGTGCGCCAGAAAGTTTGTTAAACTTCTGCTTTATCGATTTGACTTTAATTACACTTCGAAATACAAATCGATATATCAGCAATGTGGGTCGCAATTAGATACATTCTAATACATGGCTGACTTCCCATAAGACATAGAATTGGTGTGCTATCTCACGATGACACACACCGATGAAAACTGAGTCCTTTAATTGTTTTATTCAGGACGAATAGTTGACGTCAATACATTCTTCACGTATCTATACTGTTTTTATAAGCACAAAAGTGTACCTACACATCACCCCCTACGCAAAGTTCTGCATCTGAATTTATTTCGTTTGCAAATGGCTGCCAAACACATATATTTTCTGTTCTTCCATGCTGATTCACCTGAGAGAACAATAACGAACTGGGAATAATTTGGCGAAAACAGCTCCTGTCTTTATATAAAAAAAAGATAAATATGTGTACGGTAATTCATACGAAATAATAAAACAAAGCAGTGAAAACAGAAATAAAAGAATCCAAAACAAAAACCATCATAATAAAGAAAACCTGACAAGTTCCTGGTAGCATTACCCACACGACAAAGAGTGAAATTTGCGTAGGGTGGAACCGGGGACTGTTACTTGTCATTCTTATTATATTTTACAGTAACAGTACTAAAGAAAGGTTAGAAGCGTTCGAAATGTGGTGTTACAGGCGAATGATGAGGATACTGTGGATAGAGAAGATTAGAAATGAAGAGATATTAGAAAGAATAGGAGAACAGAGGACTCTATGGAAGTCAATAAGAAATAGGCGAGATAGGTTAGTAGGACACCTTCTCAGGCATGAAGGTCTAGTCATATTAGAGGCAGAAACCGAGTTAGGAGGGGTAGAGGTAGATCTAAATTGGATTACTGATCGCAGATAGTAAAGCATATGGGTTGTTCTAGTTTTAGGGATATGCGAAAATTAGCTCAGGATAGGAAAGAGTGGAGGTACGTGTCCAACCAGTGTTAGGACTGACGACATTATGATGATGAACAGTAATACAACCAAATGTAATCTGTTGACCCTCTACACATTTATATTTCGGATTCCCTTTTGATTGATTTGCTATCATAAAGTGCTGTTTTTGGATCATATAGGTTAATAATGACTTAGTAGTTTTCAAATACAAGTCCATATTGAGGTTGCATTTTGATTGTCAATTTTAAAAGCTCTTTTTATTACTTTATTACTTTATTACTTTTGCCCTTGTCCTGTTCGTGATCGGTTTAATTTACACTAAACACTTCTAGCTTCCAGATCTGAAGCTTAATGCTTTTACTAGCTTTTTGTCAAAATTAGGAGGTTTTGACAATCTTTTCTCCATTCATGCATGCATACTTACTACTTCTAGATTTCAACCTTTTGGTGGACGTGAATGCCATCCAAATCTGACGCCTCCTTGAGGTACAATTGGATATTAAAGCAATTTATACTTAAAAATGTAGAATCAAAGTAGGTTTCGTTCTTTATCTGGTGTAAATATATGTCAATCGCTCATTTTTTACAATTGAATCATCATTATATGTAGATATTTAATGTAGACTATGTTTTTCTTTAGAAGTTAATAGATGCTTCTTTTACTGATAATTTTATGTAGCAAAATGTTCTTGCGGTCTATATCAACAGATGTTTGGATGTTTTGGCTTTCGTTAAGCTTTCCACAAAGCACACTGGATACCTTTTTTCACCCGAAATTTATTGACTCCGCATTATGTGATTCATCCAATTCTGACGCTTCATGCAAGTGATTCTGCCGAGGGTTTATGCATACCATAAGGGATTTGTACAAATTATGCAGATGCTTAAACGTCACAAAAATATTTTAGCTGATCTCGTAGAGTGGATTATGCCATCCGCATAATACATTTAAGCTTAGCAAAGGACAAGGGCGCGAGTCCAAGAAATCGATACACCCTGACCTCCATTTCCTGTTTGCAGCAAATTGTGACCCAGAAAATTTCCAATTTGTTGCTGAAATGCTTCACTATGTTATTGTTGTTGCTTTTTCAACTCAGAAATTATGATCCCTTTGCAGCAATAAAGACCAACTTCATGATTGTGTCATTTGTACACTGTTGGAAAGCAATTTTAGCCTTGGAGATCCTTTGTTCTTGATTTTCGCTTAATATTGTCTGTTTAGTTTTCATTCATTAGAACTTTTGATATTCATATTTTCACTGGAGTTCTCTGATTAACTTAAGGAAATTGAATTGAAAATTTTGATATCTGCTTGTTTATATTCGATTGGAAGTGACATTTAACTGGCAAATACATCGACGAAGCATTTAAGAAAACTGAAAAGGAACGATAACGATATTGTGAAAGGTAGGCAACGGTATGTTTAGGAAAATGAGAAAATAGCAATATTTCTTCTTTTTATGTGGCGGTTAATGTCTCGTAAATATGTCGCCACTGCTTGATCTAGTAGATATTCGAACGTGTGATATTGAAATTTTAAATCTTTAGTTAATCAGTTAATACATATATATCATTCCTTTTTTAAACGTTTGGATTATTTAGAAATTACATTTGATCGTTAAAACGTATCGCAACTTTTACGCTCAAGAATCATTTTCAGCAAATGAAAATCAATCATTTGCCGGCATGTTACAGTGTTGAAGTGAATGTTCAGATTGAAGATGGTAATTATTGCCTGTTAGATAACCGGAGATTGGTAATCAAATGAATACAAAAAAGTAACTTCTACCCATTTGCCCCGAGAAATGTTAGACACACGTGTTTCGCCACATCTTAGGCTTCCATAGTCTAGAGTTACAGGTGGGCGAAACACGTGTCGCAAGTTTCGCTGTGGAAAATTAGAGTAAGTCTTTCTTTCTTTTATTTAAAACTTGATATTTTCCAAAACTTGCTACCATGCTAATACATTTATAATGTCTGCAGTAAAATTTACAGTTTGAATTCTGTGGTTTATTATGTAGTTACTATTTTCAAATTAGAAGAAGCCCAATTTGACCTTTATTGTAAAATACTGCGTATACTGTGTACGTAGGGTTATTACATTAAAAATTCCGAAAGCTACCAATTTTCGTTACGGTAGTGTAAACAGATACTATATCAGCAAACCTTAGACACGAATAAATCACCTTAGGAGAATAATTAAGGTAAATGTGTATTAAAATAGGCACATTTTGGTAAACAACTTACCTAATAGTTACCTATTAGGTAGATGAAAGCGAGCCTATACATACATATACTTATTGGAACGAGGCTTTTGGACAAAGTTTGCTTTAGTATGTTATGACAGCAAAGAACTAACTACTAGTTGCTAGATAACTTTCCTTTTAATCTCTAGTTCTTTTACCGAAATTTTCGTGGATTCTCATGGCAAAAAAAAACGTTTAAGCAGAAGAGATTCATTTGACGCAAAAAGGGAAAACCTTCTTTTACTTACAGTGCAGGTAACCTTCAAACAACAAGAACTCATTTCGAAGAAAAATTGGCTTATACTATAAATTAAATAAAAGTTCGCTGCATATAAATATGTATAACTAAAGCATTTACGTGTCTACATACATTTTGAATTCAAAAGAGTCCTTTCAGTTTTGCGTATGCTATTCAAAAAATCCAGAATTTAAAAACGTTACTAAAAATAACGGTTTTAAGCATGTATCAAAGGCAACCTCTAATAAGGCAGGCAGGGCACGTGTTACCTCCGATTTTTCAGATATAAAAAGTCTACTTTATATTAATTTGACGTATGGGCGAGATATTTAGCATTCAACAAGATTTTTTTTCTCATTAAAATATTTTTGAAAATCGTTTATGCTACTTAAAGAAATAACTTCGTTATTTTATCGGAAGAAGTGTTGAGAATTGAGAAAGGCTTTTGAAAAATAAATTAATACTCAAGCGGAAACGTCGGTGTGATTTTTGCAACCTAACCTAACCTAACCGGCTTAGATTCGCACACAGTTATAAAAATAAGGGCATAAATTAATAGAAGAACATTATGTACTAATATCTATTAAAGCTTATAAAATAGCAGATAACAGAAATATTGTGTGAAGTGGTATAATTTTTAAATCGATATTACAACATTGTTTGAAATATTAAAAAAGTTTATAATTTGTTAGGAGTGAGTAGATTGATACATCAATTTGGATTAACACTACTTCGCATAGAATTAAATACAACAAATTGGTTATTTTGTTAATTAAATGTATCTGAAGTATAAATACTTGTGTGTAAATTATTGTAACTAGAAATGGGATGTACCTATCTAAACGGCAAACATTTAACAATTGTTTGCAGTTTCGGTTTTAATAATTTGCTGACGAACGATTACATTTCATCTGTCCAAACGTTTGTACGTGCTAGACTGAAACAATTGTTTCCCATACAAACATTAAGAGTGTTTTGTATCCGTTGCTATTTTTTAACAACTACGGAAGAAACAATTTTACATAGTGTGTATCTATAAATTAATTTAAGAAATGCACATTATCACATGCACTATCATCTAACATTCTCTCATTATCAGTGACCTGTAGACCTGCGACTGTAATTTGAATATTGTTGGAAAACTTACGCAAATTTAATTCAAGTATCTTATTATCTGTACGGTTTCAAAAATTCGATACAGTACATGCTTTTGATGCAGTATGTTCATGGCTTGAACCATCATGCGTCAGATACTTAACGTACATACCATCCACTTTATGGTTCTATTCTGAATACTAGTTGGTAGCTTAATATGGTAAAAAGTATGTACTTAGTTACTCATAGGTATTTCATTGGCTAACTGGATGGAACTAATTTGACAAATTATATGGTCCAAATAGGTACTATGATATTCCTTTGGGATTATTTTCAAAGTAAAGATAACATGTTAACAACTCTTTGAATGAGTAGACAGATTGTAAATGGTGATGCAGGTTGAGTTTCAAGTGATATTGATCACACATTATAAACGTTGATCGCATATTTGTGAGGTACCTATGGACTCACCAATTTTGGCCAAACTGGCGCTAAATATCCAAATTCCAATAATAAAGGGGGTCTCAACCCTGTGGAAATCAACAGAAGAGATTTCGTAGCTTTTGTGATCGTGACCATCGGCATCGTCCGCTGGAAAAACGATGGGTGGAAAGTCGGAGTCGACATTGTTCTGTGAGCTGATCACCTTGCCATTGAACGAAGGTGATGGGACGTCTTCTCGGAACGAAGAAGGAGCTGCGGCTCGGGGATGATGAAGACCTGCGGCATCGCCATAGTTCTGCGGCAAACCCAACACAAAAAACGCAGACGCAAGCACCACGAGGCCCACTCCAAAGACGGTCCCGTAATCTGGTGTACTATGCATCACACAGGGGCTATGAACACGCGAAGACTGCCATGGAGGCAGTCAACTGCAGGCTTCGCATACCTGCTGATACTACTGGGCGTCGCGGACCGTCACAGCTGATGCCGATAGCGTCCCGACGCATCGCAACGCTGAGTACGACGCAAGCGCTTTTCAACGGTTTCCCNCAAAGTTTTCAGTCAGTTTTTCCTAACAAAAAATTTAATGTATGGATCAACACCATGCGAAAAACCAACCTAAAATCGATTCCAGAAGGGCAGACATGTACGTGATGTATAATATCTGAAACACTTTCGTGCAAAATCTCATTCATAGGCATAAGACGAAAACTGTCTAGAATTTGCGAGTATGCGACAGACAGGGACATAATGGGTACTTTTATTAACTTTATCACAAATAGCCAACGTCTAGCTCTCTCTAATTTCTTTTTCTACCAGAAACACTGATGCTGTTTTGTATTATTAATCAATTTCATAAATGTAAAACAGACGCAACTTTATTTACAAAGCAAACATTTTTATTAGTATGACCCATTCCGCATCTGCAATAAAACGAAATTATGTTATAAAATGCAATTGTTTATCGATAGGAAGACATTAAATGCAGTGATATTTAAAGTGTTTATTAGATGACTAAATATGATTCAATTCTTTTATGTGTCGTCTACACATTCTGAATTCAAAGAGTTCTTTCAGTTTTGAGTATGTCTTTCAAAAATTCAGAATTTAAATACGTAGGTACTAAAAATAACGCTTATAATGCCAGTCTCTAATGACACACAAGGGCACGTGTTAACTGTATCTTTTCAGATAAAGAGATCTGCTTTCTATTAATTAGACATGTGGTTGTATTTCCCATTAACAAGCAAAATATTTGGATTTCAAAAAGATTTGGTTTCCTCGTTAAAATGTCTTTTGAGAATCCCTTATGTCATTAAAAGAAATAATTTCGATATTTTATTTGCAAAAGCGTTAAGAATTGAGAAAATACATTAAATGCGGTGTCATTCTAACTCATATAAGTATGTATGACTAAATATGTTTCAATATTTTATAATGAGCACAATTATATCTTCAGCGATTTACTTAAATTAAATTGAATTATTATTGACATATTAAAATTAGAAACAAATCGAAAAATCTAACATTTGCGTGTGAATGTACAACCACGATTATTGGCCAAAAAATTACAGGCAATAAAATTCGATGGTCGCATGTAAAACGGCTGTTTTCACTTATATTCATGCAATCTGGGCAGAGGAAGTAAGCAATATGTACCAAGTTACAAAGGAAATAAAGTATGAAAACTGTAATTGTCTATTTTATTTTCTCTTTAAACTGATTGTAAAAAAGGTCTACCTACTTAATTCATTCATTACTGGACACGTCTTTAACATTTGAAATATAATCCAAAATCGTCCTTTAATAGGTATTAAATTCACTAATATCCTATTTCTTAACTATATTGTAACGAATTTTCTATAATTTTACAATGTAACACATTACATACAATTATTTAAAAATCGCTTATTTATTTTAATGTATTATATAGCCCTTTGGACTCCTCGTTCACACTATTTATATCACCTGGTTTATAGCGACGGTACGACTTCGGGTGGTTTATTTATACAGTAATCAAGGACGGTTTTTGAACATTTCCGGAAACTTCTCGTAGATTCCTTTTTGTATTGTTTTGTGTGCGTGTGTGTACCGCGTTTGTTGATGATTTCCGCATCAGCTCTATAAAAAGCGTCAATGTATTGATTGCTCTAGGTATACGTTCATTATAATATCTTCATTACAGTATCTGAATATTGTGAAGACTTTTTTAAAATATTTTCCTATCCTTTTTCGCACTAAATATTTTAAGGTTCCTTTTGCATTTTTAGAAGAAAGTTGTTTCTTTGTTTTAATTCTGTTGGGTGTTAGCAATTATTTTGCACAAGCAAAATAATAATAAATTAGCTAATTACTAAAGTTTATGGTAATTGATACTTAATACAATCGTATGGAACCCTCAGAGCGCGGAACAGGATCTCTGACTTTGTCAAGTGAACTTTAATTTGTTTTCCTGTATTTTTTATTTAATTTTGTATGGATTATTTCTGTTCGTATACTGTGATGTTATCCTTGTTTTAGTATCAAGTGGTTTATGTTTTCTTCTATTAATAGTCTACACGTATAAACTCTATTGTACTATTTGCGTTTTTTCAACGTTTCGTTTACTTTTATAAAGTTAAAATTTATATTTTACAAATACAAAATGTTTATTTTGAAATTAATTCAAGCGTTTGTGTGTTTGTCAACGTTCAAAAATACAATCGTCACATGAAAAATGACAGAAGAAGATGACACGAGATATTTTCTAAATTTAGAAAATTCAACAATTCAACCCACCGAAGAGTCTCCTCCAATGGGGGATAAGTCAGTTAATACCTATAACGAGATTTTGCAAACAATATGTTTGTCTTTGATGATAACGTTATAATATATACCTGTTCGTTCGTCTAAGTACTGTAGCTAACAGTGAAAATTGTTCGTGTTTTTGTACAATTTTTATCAAAAGAAGACAGCATTCTCAACATCAGTCAATTGAGATGTCGGGGGTTGTGTTCGTAGTGACTGTGCCTTCAGAAAACCATGAAAAATCATTGAAAAAATCCATTACTACGCTTATTAACAAGGAAAAACCATTGCCAAGTAACAATCAAAGCGTTATATCTAAATATGTCGTAAAAGCACAGGAAAAAAGTGCATCGCTGAACAGAAAACTGAATAAAGAATCTAAATTACTGAACAATTGGAAGCATACGTTGATGCGCTCGAAGTCGTTAGAAAAACTGCCAAAATGTCTCAATGAATGTCGACGAGAAAGTTCCGTCAGTTTTAAAGACGATGAAGTTATCACTCAATTTCCCATGGAAAAGGTCAGACATGTGAATATTACAGGTTGTTTTTTTCGAATTGCTGAAATCTAATCTTTATGTTATCATAGAAACGGTTTTCAAAAGTACCACAATATGTATATGAATAATTTGTTGAAATATCTCGCACAAAGAATAAATATTTCCGTGTGCACAGTTGCTGGTAAATATACAAAAACCGGTTAGAACTGGATTGATTTTTAAAGGTTGTTAATTTATGAACTGCTTTGTTTGTTATCTGTCTCATTATACTTTAATTAATAATATTATTATTTGCAAATTTGCACAATTATTCACTAAAGCAGAAGTAGGTATTCCTAGAAAGATATAATGTAGTGTTACTTTCAAAAGTGTTGTAAAAATACCATTTTTTTTGTAATTCACAAAAACTAAAAATCTTTTTTATTCGTTGCTACAGGAGCTGAAGAATATTCTGGAAAAGCTGAATATAGACAACGCATCTTGGACGCTGTGTGAAAATGACACGTACTGGCAAGTTGTATTTCCGTCAAAATCAGGATGGCAATGTGAAGAAATCCTGGAAGCTTTAAAGGATAACAAAATTGGACGAAGATGTCGTTCAATTGTATCTGTAATTCCATGCAACTTGTACTATCATTCCGATTCAGAAACAAATAGGAATTCCGAAGAATATAACATTAGTAATGTTGATCTGTACGTACAAGTTTTTGGAAAATCCAATTCTTTACAAATTAATTGATTATTTAGATGATTAAAAACTGACTAGGAAAAACGAGAACTAGTGATTGTTTTCATTGCTTTGAGAACTTAGTTTTTGTCTTACTTTTGTTCATGGGATTAAAAATTGTGTAGAACAAAAAGAAATTTTTTCTTTCAGTAAGCAACAAGCAAAAGAAAAGGACACTGGTTGGTCCAGATTTTTGACGTCAATAAGAGCTCGCCTAACAGTTGCTCAACTTGTCGAAAGTATTAAATCAGATGCATTGCTCACTTTTGATTTTGTATGTCTATTGATTATTGCAACGTGAGTAAATACATTGATTTACAGAAAGGTTAATTGTTCCAATTAAATAACGTTTTAGTGTACTGTGTGCCATAGGCCTAGTAGAGAATAGTAATGTATATTTGCTGTCCAGTATGCTAATATCTCCCATGATGGTAAGTAAGTTGGGTGCATCGTGTATCAGTTCAGTTCAAAATGGACGAATTTACGTTCTCGTCCATTAAAAGCTGCCCTTTAGCTGTTTCTTTTATGGAGAGAAGTAATTAAAAAACTTTTAGGGTCCCGTAATGGCCGCCACATTCGGCACGGTAATTAGAGACTCCCAGTTGCAAAAGATCGGTGTTAACAATGCCCTAATTGGATTGGGATTAGCAACTTTTGTGGGTTTTTGTTACGGGACCGTCATTTGTCTCTTTTGTAATAAATATGGCGAAAACGATTGGCCAACGTTTGAAATGACTTCCAGGTAATTTTCAAAATAGAACTGAAGAGTTTTATCGATGTGATGTGCTTTGAAAGTCTTTATAAAGTATTTTTTTAGGGGTGAAATTAGGACTTTGTGGGTGGGTTGTCTTATAGCGTTACTTTCAGGGGCTGCTGTAGCCCTTGGAATTTTGGGCGACAACGTAGCATCATTGGTAGGAGTTGCGATATCAACCTCATTGATGCCCCCAGCAGTAAACGCGGTAAGTAGGAAGAAAAAAGAAACTTAAATGAAAAGGGGATTAATATCGTCCCTTTAGGTTAAGTTAGGTTAGGTTAGGTTAGGTTAGGTTACCTTTTAAATAAAGTTCTTACCGAATATTGCTGAAAAGCAGTTTCAAAATACATATTTACTGTTTGTTATACAAATAAAGTAAAGCAATACTTGGAGATTTTAGTTTGAATACCTTTGGTTTTTATTTTCATCATTTTGTCATCCATTTTTTATTACATGAGCAAGACGACAGATAGGTACCATCTTGTATAAATGTGGCAAATCTAAATGACTTTTGAACATTCCAGGGGTTGTTATGGTCTCTTGCGTCGCTTTACAGTATAAAGGGGAACGACTCCATTTCCTTATCTCTACCGCATCATCACTATTCTCAAGATACTGCCATCGAACTTGCTGCTTTAGGCGGAATGAGCATTTGCCTAACATTTGTAAACATCGTCTGCATCTATCTTGCCGGTATATTAGTTTTTAAGGTAATACAGAAATGTTTTTTTTTTAAATTAGTATGAGATTGCGTTAACGTCATGGATATTGCATGACGAAACAATTCAAAGAGTAATGACAAGATTCACTTGAGATATAAGAAAAATACGATACAATCTACCCTTGAGCGTCACAGGTTACATCGTTTTAAGTGAGGTCAAGTAAGGTGAACGTAAGTCGTAACTTATTTAGTATTCTGCATAATGTACGTTCCAGTAGTAAGAATTGTAGAATAAGCGGCGTGAGCTATTGAATAATTGGTACAGACCCCATTTTTCAAGTAGGAAACGTATTCATATGAACACTTTTACAATTTTTAACCCTCTCCCTCAACCCTTGGTGACCTACCGTAGTAAATGTCAAGGCCCCTCCATCCCCTTGTAGTTTTTACATAGTAAAATATTTTTTTGTAAAATAGTCCAAAAAAGGGCGAGATTTCTCTAGAGGTTATTGACTACGAGACGAAAAGCTAAGCACCCCGCAGCTCCACGTTACCAAGTGTGGCATTTTTGAAGACCCCCTCCTTCCCTAAAGTCACTTAGTGTGGATACGTTCCTTAATCTTACTGTACCTTCATTTTCCCGGCTTGTTTTTTTTTTATAAAAAATTCAACACAGTTAATGGGAGAGAAAGGACCAATGAAAATCTCACTGATGTACCAACTTTTAGATTTAAGGAGGACCATTTTGTTTCAGATAAAGGAAGTTGCTCCTATGACATCTAAAGATCAAGCGAAACGCAGATTTTGGAAGCACGATATCAAAATAGCACGTGATTACAATCGCACGTTTCAGAATGATGATGCAAAAGCTTTGTACGACCAACTGCAGAAAGAATTGAATTATCAAGTGATGTCGGATCACGTTCAGGACTCGGGATACAACAGAAACAATCGTCATCATTCTACTGATTATCTACGAGAAAAGCCGAACGGCAGCTGGGGTAAGAACCTAAATTATTATCTATAAATTTGAGATTCATTTATTCGACTTCCACCATATCTGTAACTAGCCCTTTATGACTGAGAAAGTGCCCTACCAAATTATATCGCCTATATCTTTCTCATTCCTAACCTTCTCCATAGTATATTCATCATATGGCGTTCCAACTTTTTCTTTTCTGGAACGCTCATCGGCAACCTTTCTTATTTTGGAGCATTTTTTAGACTTAAAAACGAATATTGGCAAGACTGGTTAATTACAACAGGCAGAACACTTTTTTGTTTTATTGATCTATGCATAATTGATGAAAATCTAAACACAACTTTCGTACCGAAGCTTCGCCAAGCTTTAGCTTTTTCAGAATCTTGTCATTATATTAAAGTTGTGAAAATCTGATAATTAATTAGTGCATTCACTGCATTAAAAAAGAAATTATTTTTGCATCTAATAGGGACTTATGGAACTTTTGATTTGGGATAGGTCTTGCTTTATTTAACTGCTGCCTTTCAATTTTTTACTAAGTGGGTTCTAAGAAAATCAGCATTTTACTTTGCATTTCTTTATTTGTTTATTAGACAAGTAAATATTAAGGTAAATATATTCTTAGGCTTTTCTCAATATACCTGGTCTCCATGTACGAACGATCAACAATTTAATAGGCCAACAGTTCAAGAACTTCACCACCTTTACAAACATTTATTAGAAAAGAAATATGGTTTCGTAGGATCAAGAAAACCGAGCCGTGCGTGGTCAAATCAGCAGCAAATGTTTGAAGAAGAGAATTATCCTGTGTCTGAGCAGGATCTGGTGATAGATATTCCTGAAGTGAATAACGGCTCCGAAAGCCCTCTCCTTCCAGTAAATTCATCAGATAATTCTGCAAATGGTTATTTTTCTCGCCCTAAAAGGTTTACAGTAACACCTTCGAGTTCAGATCCACTTAAGGAGAACACGTAAGTAATTTTAAAAAGAATGGATAAATTATGTTACTTTCATAGGTCAAACAAACATTTAACGAAGTATAATGTACTCATTTTTCAATTTTGTGTATCTACATTGTACACTACGTACTAATTTTATAGATTATATTTTGCTTTTATAGTTTTTGTTAGGTACCTTAAATTCATCTAGTATTTTAGGCATTCGTATAGGAATAACCACTTTATATGTAAAGTAAATGCCTTTTTTTACCGTCTATTAAGACCTTTTATGTCTCTGGGTGATATTTTTACTGTATATAAAAATAATACTTTTATATTTGTGTTATTTTACCCTGAATAATAAACCTTTTAGAAAATAACTCTATTTTTACATCATTTGATCTAACAAGTGGTAATTTTTCTGTAGTTTGCTCGCAATGGATTCTCTTAAAGTCTAAATTTATTAAGAAAAAATGCCATACATAAATGCATATTTCAACATTTAGAAATTTAAAGTCCATGGCAATTATAAACTATTGCTTTTGTTTTTTATTAGGGCGGTATTACTTTAATGTTATGAGCCTTTTTCTTGAATGAATAATGTAAAGGGCCATTTAATGGTACCGTATTTGGTAGTACTAAAAATCGACTTACGTTACTGTTTATATTACGTATCGGTTCCTTAAAAACTACCTAAGTCAGCAACAAGGTCAAACGTCTAGAAAACGTCAACTTCAGCGTAGTTTACAAATGTTTATCCTTTCTTTAGTTATTTAAGTATATGTTATTGTGAAATTTAAATCCTATATAAAAATAATATGAACGGAAAAAGTGTTAGAAGATAAATTCTGAAGGGATGTGTTTATAAAATAAGACTAATTAGAAGATGAAATGGATGCTTAATATGAGAAAAATATGCTCTTTTATTGAGTAAAATGGAAGAACAAGTAGTTACAATAGATGTTGTTCCTCAAACAGTTACTGAGGTCATTTATTTGAGCCCTCAAGGATTAAATTTCGACAAAACCGTAGAGGTAGAGAGTTATTATTCGTCCTCTGGTGAAGAACATGAAAATGAAATTTATGAAATTGGTTGTGTTGATGCCACTCAGGTAGAGGATATGCCGCTTGTGTATGACCAGTCTGAGTCCTTTGTAATGCTGTCTGATGAGTACCAAATTGATCATGACAATAACGAGCAGGTAAAACACATAACCTCAGTAATGTAACAGTCTTGTTTAATTTATTGCTTTCCTTATATTTCCAATTCTATGCTCATTTTATGTTAAATAGGGAGAAGTGGACAACATTTCTGAATGTAATGATACACTAGTTCAAAGTAGACCACCTGTCAAAAGAAAAAAGTTCTCATGTCACGTTTGTAAGTCTAAATTTTCTTCAAGAAAAAAGTTGTTTCACCACAGAGTATTGCACAAATCAAGCATGGAAAAAGGTACAAAACAAACAGGAAATATCCTCAACAACACCCCAGTTATAAATTCTTGTAAAGTCTGTGGTAAAAAATTTGAGAGAACACAAGCCTTGAGTATTCACTTTAGAAAGTGTCACCAAGCTGTTCCTGTAGTTAATTCATCGCAACCTGAATGTAGCATAAACGAAGATATAAAGGAATGTGAAAATAGATGCAGAGAAATCCCCAAGTTTTATTGTAATATATGCGGCTGTCCCTGTGTGAATGACATTGCATTACTATTTCACTATAGAAAACATGAACCAAAAACTTACTCATGTGATATCTGCGAAGCTGGTTACAACGATGAAAACGACTTTATTAACCACAAGAAGACACATCATATCCAATTCCTTTATGCTTGTAATAAGTGTGACGAAAGCTTTCCAACAACAGCCCTTGTCAGTTACCATATACGTCAAGTTCATGCTCAGAGTAAGACAGTCAAAATGGAACAGACTACTAATAGGAATTTGAGTGAATGTCCTTATAGTGTAGGTATATGTATAGTAGTATGGTTCTTATTTTTAAAAGTAGAAATTTCACGTCTCTATTATAATGTTAACTTTCAATGCAAGTTTCCTATCTAAATAACATGGGGTTTTCAGCATAGAATAATTAAAATTAGTGAGAACAATATAGTATAGTCTTGCAAAAAGAAGGGGGGTGGGGGAACAGATTACAAATTATACAAAATTAAAGGTGATTAGTAAGATAATAATCCTACTTTAAGAATATTTTTTCTTATTTCATTTGTAAGTTTTCCAAAAGAGATAATTGTTTACTGTTTGGAATGTACAAAACTGCATTTATAATGCTGGTTCTTATTGTATAATGTGTTCAGAAATTCGCCCGTTACTTGGTCTACCGCTTTGGCCAATGTAAACGGATTCTTACTCTTTTATATTTACAGAAAATAACTATTAAGTTAGAGGGATTATTTTCTAAAACTACAATTGAAACAATTTTCTAATTTGTATTTCTATCTATTTTTGATTTATTGCCTTCTTTCAGACAAATAACACTGCATTGGATTCAAATTCAAAGCAACTATCAATGGAGAAGGCGTCTCAGTTTCCAAGGCGAAAGCATACATGTAATATTTGCAATTTGCAATTTCGTTTTCAAGCTGCTTTGACGCGACATTTAAATGAACATATGAAACAAGAAACGCCAGATTTCAACGAATCCAATGTGAATTAAAGCATAGTTGCCTTGTCACATTGACATTTTATTTAGGGTAATTTAGAGAACAAACGTTAGAAACCAATTAGAAATTAATTAAGATACAGTCTGGTCTTGTATAATTGTATAAAACTATTTGAAGTGGGTTGTGTGAACTTTTTTTCTTACAGTTTGTGTACCTGTTCTGCTTTTTGCAATGTAAAGATATATTATTATTGTTACGACCAATTACATTATAATTTAATAGGTTTGCTAATATACATCTATATATATAAATACTCTTTTATGCCATAGTATGTCTTCTTCGTTTCGATCGTCAGATCTAAATAGACGGTCAAAATGTCCCCTTAGAATAAAATAAAATTCTCTGCCTGAATGTATTTTCGTTAAAGAATTTAGTAATATCCGAAATATTAGAGAATTTCATATGTGTCCTAAATTAATTAACTAATCCATTAATCATAGTTTAATTTTAAAGAGGGTAGGTGTAGAAATTGTTGTCTTGGAATAATTGAACAGTATCATTATAGATACTATTTCCTTTTCTAACTACTTTTAACACTTATTACACCCTTTAGGGTTAAATTTTGAAGATTCTCCCCTCTCACATTTTTAAAACCAACTTTAGTGTTGATATACCAGTTAATTGATTAGTTTTTCCTTATGCTTCTATAGATTTATTAATAATTCTAAGATATCTTCTGAAATTGTGCTGATTATTTAAACAAATTTTGAAAAGGGTAGAATTCCTTATATTTTATATTGGGTAGACCATGTATATCTCATAATAAGTTCGAGTATATTTTCATAGATGGCGCAGCATGTTTGTCTTTAAAAATTATTCAAAAACTAATATTAAAAAGCAGTAAAACAAATGAAAACTTTTATTCATGGCATTTAAGTTATTAATGTGAAGTACAAAATAATAGTTTGACCTTATCGATTAATTTAAATACACTTATTTAATATCTAGTTCTATTCAGGCATTTCACCCCCAGGTACTAACTGCAAATAATAAAAACATACACATTAATAATGTTTGAAATGCAGTGTATAAAAATATTGTTGATCTACCATTGTAATGTTATTCCCATTTAAAAGTATTTGGTCCAGTTTTGTTATTCGTCTGCCTTCAGGGGTAGATTCATATTCAGTCACATCTTCCAGCAACATATTTACAAAATCGTCAAATCCTAGGAGTGTACCGACAATTTCTTTATCATTTTTCATAATTATATGAATTCTGGATCCTATGCATTTATCAACCAACTCTATGAAAAAAAAATAAAATAAAAAAAAGGTCAGGATTTAAGACTATAATGGTTATTAATATTTAGGTGACATGCTAACTTACCTAATGGTAGTAATGTAGAGGAAGAAACAGGCATTGAACTCATTATATAACTTAATTTTTTAGGATTTGAAGAGAATAAGTAAAAACAAATTAAATATTTTTACATAACCAACAATTTTGTACCGCACATCTCATCATACTCCATGTAAACAAACATCACAGGTTTGAATAATGCCTTACTTCGCTTATAGATAAAGCGTTAATAAAACTGCAATATATGCTAGCTTTGGTATATAAATCAAATGAAAAATTTGTTAGTTTCTCTTTGATGTATAAATAATCACAATAACTTGTAAAAAGAGTATTTTATTACATTAAATTTTTGGTCTATCAGCTCCTGCTTTGTTTTGATATAATTTCGTAGTTCGTTGATTACTTCAGACTCATTTCCTAACTTTGCGCATGTTGATGTACGATTTCGAGTTTTAGTTCGTGCGAGTTTGTGTTAGTCGGATATGTCGGTGCATGGTGTCGTACTTTTGTGTTTATTATACATGTGATTTTTAAACGATAAGCAATTTACTATGTGAACTTGTGTCTAAAACTGTGACAATAATGACCTTTAGGAACCCCTCCTTTGTTTGATTACACAGAAACCCGAAAGGTATTTGTCTTTTACTTCTCTCTTCACCACATATTTTCAATATACTAGTAATTCAGTTTTGTTTGTATTAGATATTATGTTGTAGCAGCCAACAAACTTGCAAATCACTATTAAAATATTAAAATTTAAGTTAAAATATTTTTCTAGTGATGATAAATATACAATATAATATTTGTTTATGATTTTACATTATTTGTTTGTATTATGCACTATAAGGGAAGTACGTATGACCATAAAAATATTAAGAACATAAAGTAATAATCCTATAATGTATAATGTTTGATAATTATTTACCACTTTTATGATTCAAAAATTTACCATTGCCTTCATTATCTGAATGTTTCATATGATTCACAGGGAAGGAATTTCTGCATTATAAAGCTGCTATAGACGTTATACCTTCCTATCTTTTTAAAGTGTTTAGCTTTTATTTGAAGGGGTTATTACAGTAAAAGGGGTATGTAAAACTATTGACGGATTAAATTATAAATGTTGAGAATATATTTTGGGGGTTTGTGAAATGAATTCCAACTTACTGTTATTCATATTATGTAGGTACCTATGGTACCTAAATTGGATTAGGTACCTAACAATTTTCCCTTTTTATTTCAAAAGGTTTTTTCATATTATTTAGATTATTATACAACCTACAGCCTATAAATACAGCAAGTACCTACCTAGGTGATGTTGACTTTTATTAATTATTGCTAACAATCTCAAAAACTAACATTCTTACTCTTTGTAATATTTTAAAATTTTATGTTTACAAAAGCTTTAAGAAACTATTAAGAATTCGGTTGTAAAGTTGTAAATTTTATCTTTTTAATGATCATAAGTGTGAAAATACAAAGGTACCTAAAACTCATGGTTATTTAGCGTTTACCTATTGCTTCATTAAGTACCAGCTAGTGTGTAATACTGAAATTAATTTACTCATTTCGAAATCATTATATAATCTATTCACATGGGCTTAAACTTATCACAGGCTGTTATCCGTCTCCTTGGCAGACATTATTAGTGAATTAATAGATAGTATTCAGTCGACAGCCTGCAATATGTTGAAGTTATAAATCAAAGACGTCCCACTCATTTTATCTATCAAAGGAGATAGATATTTATTGCAAATCTTCGTAATATAAAAGGGGCTTACCTACAGTTTGGTTATTTATATGGGTTACTAAGGATAAGGATATTATAAAAGGACTACGGCTTACTTACCTGCTTGGAAATTTGCTGGGACTGCGATTCGGACCTTATTCGGTGTAGGTAACTGACTTCAAATATGGCCCGGATAAGATCCTTTTGCCGGGATTAGAAATGTAATGCCATGAATCATTTGGGCCTAGTCAGACAACCAGGTTTGGTCTGGATGAGGTATTCACATTAAGGCCAGATCAAGCTAAAGGGTATTCACAACACAGTCCTTAATAGGACATTTCGTAAAAGAGTTTAGATATGGTATTACCTTTTGGGTTAGATCAGGCTTAAGAGGACCCACCGTTAAAGGATTCAATATGATGTCCACATTAGGGCTACATCAGTTTTAATAAGGCATAATGTAAAAGGGTTCAGATCCACATGAGGGTCTAATCAGTCCAAATAGGGCATGCTGTAAAAGTATTCCGATACGGTATCACGATTAGGGCCAGATCAAACTAAATAGAACATAGCTTTAAGGATTTGAATAGGATATGAACATTAGGATCACATAGGTCTCAATAGGGTATGCCATAAGAGGGTTTAAATATGAAATTACCATTACGGCCAGATGAGGCTAAATAAGACCTACCATTAGGGTTACTTGAGTCTTAATAAGGCATGCTGTAATAAATTCAGGTAGGATATCCACATGAGTGTTAAATGAGTCCAAATACGGCAAGTCCTACTTAGTCCCTGATTAGGGCCATGTATAATACGCTATAATAGGATACCCTAGTCAGTCTGGGTCCGGTCTGTATGCTGGTATGACCCGCCCTAACAAATTTCCAGTCGAGAAGTCCTGGTGTGTATAACATTTACTGCTTTGTTCTAAATTAAATTGGAACATATTTATGTATTAACTCAAAAAACAGCTTTCTTTACTGCTATACATTTCCAGTATTTTCTTCGATATTTTTTTAATACCACCTGGAATCTTAGTATTTGCGTTTTTCAATTGGAAAGATTATGCGTAAGTTTGTTTAAGGATTACCACAGTATTTAATCATCTACCTACGCCTAGAATACGTATCAACTTGAGTCACATTGATGGAGTCTTGTTTCCTCAAGAGGGTTAATTATTAAGAGCTGAGAAAGCGATCAAATTCCTTATGCTGCTAATAATTATAAAGTGGTATTTTACTTATCTATTTCTATTCCTTTATAAGTGTTTTTTGTTCATATTCGGAAATGAATTGCAAAGGGACAGAATAGTTCACTTAGACCACGGCCCTACAGCCCGAATCTTCATTCTACTATGTATTTCGGCCGTGAAAGCCTTTGTTCTTATAATGAATTGCAAGTTTTGTGGAAAACATTTGAAGAAGGTTTGATATTTGGTGTTGGTAGCCGTAGTCCACTATTGGTACTTTTTTTCCGGGAGCCTCCAGATGGCGTCTGCAGCCGTGGGGGGTAAGTAGGTACAGGGTATAGTAAAAGGGAGGATTGGAACAGCATCCCCTTGATGAGTAGAGGTGTTGAAACCACAAAACAAAACCGGGGGGCGGGGAGAGCAAAAAGGGGAATGCAAAAGCACCTGCTTGATGAAGAGAGATGCGAAATCCAAGAAACAAAAGCGGGGATGGGGCAGGGAGAGCAAAAGGGGGGATTGGAAAAGCATCCCAATGAGGAGGAGCGGCGCGGAAACCAAGTAACAAAGTCGATTTTTGAGGTTATTCCATAAAATAGGGTGACGAAGACAAGCAATAAGCTAGATGGAAAAAGCTCCTCCGTTGTTCCTACCCCTTTCTCCACTTTTTGACTCCTGTCGTATCTGCTATCATTTCACAGGATACTAAAGTCTGACGAACAGTTTTCCTGCTGGACGTTTTTGTACATAAATTATACTTAATCAATTGCTGGAAGAGGTTGTTTGTAGGTATTCTTAGTCGATCCCTAATTAACACTTCCGAGTAATAATTTCGGCGTTTTGTTGCAATTAAGTATGCGTTTATGTGCTACGAGTATTAAATAAGTGCCAAGGTACCGCTGCTGTTAACAGTTTACGGTGTTGTACATGTCGGTCGTACCGTTGACATTTTTATTATATACGTTTCTGCCGGTATTTTACGTCCGTGTTCAAGTTGAATAGGCTCTCACATTCATGTAATAATATTACGGTTATAATAATGAGTGCGCCTACCAGAGAGCAATAATACCAATGCGCAAAAAGCGCGATTATTGTAGAAGTTGATGTTGTTGGTGTGAAATTGTAAAACCGAAATGTCCCCTTACATGCGTACATTAATAAACAATTTTGTTCGTAATTGAATGTGCAATTTGCAGGTTGCAATGCTAATTTTGTTCTTTTTTTACAAGTACGTAACTCAGTAACAGTTATATACTCGTGTAGGTATTTAAAAATGCTTGTAAATTACATGAAAGTAGGATAAACAGGCTTTTTAAATTGGGATTTGTGTGTGCCTGTTGAAATTTATTATTTCTGTATTAAGTAGATACATAAACTAATTAATAGTAATAATTATTTGCTACAGTGCTATTCTTTTTTATTTGAATGGGGAATTTGAACATTCTAATGAAGATTAAAGTTTGTCGCCATCTCTAGTTGGAGATTAATTTCCTAAATATTTTTCGTAATGCATATCACAACATGGAGCGTTCGAAATGTGGTGAGAAAACAGGCGAATGATGAGGATACCGTGGATAGAGAAGGTTAGAAATGAAGAGGTATTAGTAAGAATAAGAGCACAGAACTCTACACTCTCTGGAAGTCAATAAGAAATAGGCGAGATAGGTTCGTAGGTTACCTTCTCAGGCATGAAGGTCTAGTCAGGGACATATTAGAGGCAGAAACAGGAGTTAGGAGGGGTAGAGATAGATCTAGACTAGATTACTGTTCGCAAATAGTTAAGGATGTGGCATGTTCTAGTTTAAGGGAAATGCGAAGATTAGCTCAGGATAGGAAAGAGTGGAGGTGTGTGTCCAATCAGTCTTAGGACTAACGACCTTATGCTGATGATATCACAACGAATGCTGTGGTTTATTGGTTATATCACATCTCATTGGCGGATTTTTTGGACAATCGGGACTCGTTGAACAAGTATTTTTGAGAGCCACTTGCGAAGTGCCCAGGTAAATCTGCTTCTGAATGAACCTGAAGATACTCTGCCGCTCTTAGCATTTTGTTAAGAGACTTTCCGTTTATAATGTACAATTTGAAATTGTCTTAAACCGCTGCAAACAGCGAAATTTTGCGGGTGCAAATTTGGAAATTGTTTCAAAAGTAGCTGAAATTATGAACCTATTCATCAATTTCGCAAAATCTGTGTCACCTTACGACACCCTGCAGTGCTTCTAACTACCGTGAAAAGTGCAATTTCATTTCATTTCCTTCAATCATCATCTTAGGACTTGTAATTAGGTTTGTTCCTTTACAGGTAAGGGTTCTAAGATTGGTTGGACATGCACCTCCACTCTTTCCTATCCTGAGCTAATCTTCGCATTTCCCTAAAACTAGAACGTCCCACCAACTCCTGTTTCTGCCTCTAATATGTCTCTGACTAGACCTTCATGTCTAAGAAGGTGTCCTACCAACCTATTTCTCCTATTTCTAAGGGTTTTATATCCATATGGTATGAAAAAGTATAGATCTATTTGGGTGTTATCGTAATCGCAATCGAAAGACTGCGTGTCTAGTTGGATTCGGACAATTCTCCTGATACTACAACACACAGTAAAAACTGTTCTCATTGAAATGCAGCTTTGGTTTGCACGTCGTCTTCGTCACGAACCCATTAATGACCGTCGTCGTCCCGCATTGTTCGTTCGGCTGCAACTAACTA